GTGGAGGGACAAAGCGGGGGAATGAGGGGACCGGGGGATACGGAAGGTCCCGCTGGGGGGCTCCGAGAGGTGCGGGGGGTCCTGTGGGAGCGGGGGGCGACGTGGGGACAACGAGGGGCTCAGGGGGAGGCTGAGGGTCCCGCGGGGTCACAGGGTCACGTGGGGACACGGAGAGTCCCGTAGGGATGGAGGGCGATGTGGGGTCCCGCGGGGTCCCACGGGGAATCCCATAGGAGCGCCCCGCAGCCGCGGGGATCCCTGACACCACCGCAGCCTGAGCTGCCCCGGCGCTGCCCCAGGAAGCATCGAGTCCATAAAAGCTGCGCAATCTTTATGGAGCCGCTTTCACACCTCTCACTTTCAGGGGCCGTAAAGCAGCGACCTTCGTGCCAGCAGCGGCACGGCCGCATCCAGGGCGGGCCACGGGGCGACAGAGCCGTGGGGGTGACAATGCTGCGGGATGACATTGCCGCGGGGTGACAGAGCCGTGGGGGCGGCCGTCAGTCCTGCACAGACACACGGACGCGGTGCCAGGCGGTGCTCAGAACCCCGCGCAGGTTCCAGATGGGCGCCACGCTGTCGGGCTGCACGTTGTAGCTGCTGTCCACCGCTTTGCAGACGATCTCCAGCTCCGTCCCCGCCGCCACCGGCACCGTCAGCTCCCACAGCGCCCATGCCCACGCCCTGCCCAGCGGGGCCTTCTCTCCCGCCAGCCGCGCCACCTTCCACGTGCGCCCGCCGTCCAGCGACACGTCCACGCGCACCACCTCGCGCCCCCCGCCGCTCCACGCGTAACCCTTCACCGTCAGCTCCCCCGGCGGCACCGCGGCTCCGGGCCGCGGCTGAGTGACGGCCGATTGCACCGGCAGCTCCTGGATGGCGGGCGCCGTGCGGTAATCCACCGTGTCCCAATCCACGCAGGGGGAGAAGCCCTTGTAGTCGTTCTGCTGCCAGTGGCTGGGGCTCTCGGCCGGGCTCACGGCCACGCGTCGCAGCCATTTGACGCTGCGCGCGCCCACCACGCCGGGCACCACGACGCGGAGCGGGAAGCCGTGGTCGCGGGGCAGCTCGGCGCCGTTCATCTCGTAAGCCAGCAGCACGTCAGCGGCGGGGCTGAGCGCGCGGCCGTAGGGGATGGACGCTCCGTACGGAGCCCCCCCAGGGTCGGCGTCCAAGCCTTCGAAGCAGACGTGCCACTCGCCCTGGCGCTCCTCGGGGAAGCCGGCGTGCAGCAGGACGTCCCGCAGCCTCGCTCCGCCCCACCGCGCCGTGCCGATGGCGCCGATGTCCCACGGCAGCCCTTTGACGGGCCGCACGCGGCTCATCTCGGCGCGGCGGTTCCCGGCGCACTGCAGGGTCGCCGTCACTTCGTGTTTGGGGAAGCGGCTCCGCAGCTCGTCCAGAGACAGCGACAGCGTGCGGCCGCCGGGACCGTCCACCCGCAGCCGGTAGGAGCTGGGCTCCACCACCGGTACCGGGAGGTGGTTGCGGGTGAAGAAAAGCTCGTTGGGCGTCAGGAAGCGCTCGGCCAGCAGCTCGGCCGGCGGCTCCGCGTTGAAGGGCTTCTGGCTGTTGACCCGCAGCCCGGGGTGCCGGGGGGGGTCCCCGGCGAAGGGGTCCTGGGAGTCGGGGGCCAGCGGTGCCTCGTCGGGGCTGAGCTCGCCCACCTTGTACTGCTGCAGCAGCTCCAGGACGTGCGGTTCTCCGTGCACCGCATACAGTGCCCAGAAGGGCTCCAGAGCCCCACCGGCCGCCAGCAGGATTTTGTCGGGTCCCCCCGGGTGCAGCTCCACGAAGTCGGTGACGTCGAACACGTCGGTGCCGTGGGTCACCCAGACGCGCTCCTCGGGGCTCCGGTGCCGCCCCACCTCCTCCCGCGTGTACCGGGGGTACGACGGGGCGGCGGCGGCGGCGTGAGCGGCCTGGGGGGGGGAAGAGGGGGGGCCTCGGCCTCGTCAGCGAGGATAACCCGGACCCACCTCCTTCCCGGTGCCCCCCGTCCACTCCCCACCCGCTGCGCGCTCACCCTCCGCCGCCGTTCTCCATAGCTCAGCGCCGCGCCGAGGCCGAGCAGCGCCGCCAGCACCGGTACCACTCGCCCGCCGCCGCCCCCCCCCGGACCCGGACCGCCGGGGACGATGTCCGTCCGGGAGGAGCCGCGGTGCGGGGGGAGCGGCGGGAGGGGCAAACGGACTCTGCGGAGAGAGCGGCGCTGAGCGGTGCCCGAGGGCGGAGTGGGGCCGGGGTCCCCTCGGGGGGTGGCACCGGGGGTAACTCTGAGTGTGTTGCGGGCGGGGGGTGGGGTCCTACCTGCGCCGAGGGACAACGCGGAGCAGCAGCATCGCGGCGGGACCTGCGGGAGGCAACGCTCAGAGCGGAGCGGGGGGGCCCACGACGCCACACCCTCCCTCCCCTCCCCCGGTAGCGGATTTTCCGCTCCCTCCCGGTGCGCACCTGCGTGGCAACCGCGGCGTTGCGCGGGGCCGAAGGCTTTAACGGAGGGGCGAAGGGGCGGGGACAGACGGCTGGGGCCACGCCCCCTCCCCCACCCCACCCCCCCCCCACGGCCTTGGGGGCGAGCGTTAAAGGGGCCGCGGGCCAAAATCCCGCACGCGTGAACCTGGGGCGGGACGCGCCGCCGCCCGCCGTGGCGATAAGCGTTATCGGGGCGCAGCCGGATACGGGCACGGCTCCAGCCCCCCCAGCCCCCTCCCCCCCCATTACACGGCGCTGTTTCTCTTTATTTATTGAGGTTTTTTTTTTCATTTTTTCTCCGGTTTTTTTTTCCTTCTTTTTACTTACATTAAATACATCGGTAGATCAGCAGCTGAGTTCTGTTACCACGATTCGCTATTTAAATGCGATGGAGGAGCTTCCTCAAAGCAAAACAAAAAACAACCAAACGGAATAATAAAAAAAAAAAACAAACCGAACAGCGGAGACAGAGGGAAAACGGGGAGGGTCGGAAAAGCTGCAGCGTCCCGCCTCGCTCCCGGGGGGGCCGATCTCGGGCCGCGCAGAGGGGGGAAAGCAGAGCCGGGGGTCGCATCGCAGTCCCGATCTGCTCAGCCCGCGCTGCGGGGCGTCATGCGGGACCCCCCCGCCCCCCATAAAGGGGGGACGACCCGCACGAGGGGCTCCCTGGGAGCCCAGGCTGCCGGGCGCGGAGCAGGGCAACGGCCTCGGGGCTGCGGTGCGGGGCACGGCGCCTTGGCGGCAGCCCAAAGGATTCGAGTTCCATCCGGGAAGAGGAGAAGGGAACGAACCCCCTCACCTCCCTCCTCAGCTCCCAACCTCCGGAGCAAACAGGACCTGAAGGAGAAGCAAGGAGCGGCGGAGCCGGGCGCTTCCCCACGTCGAGTGCCGAGCAAAGGCGGGAGGAGGAACGGGGCCAAAGCGAGCGGGGCTCAGCGGGACACAGGGCCGCAGCTCCGCCCGGGGGGGCGGGGGGGCCGAGGCCGCTGTTGGGGTCGCCCGCTGGCTCCGCCTCCGCCCCCCCCCAAAAACAAAAAGATTCCCAGGCACTTCTGAACCTTCAGCAAAGGGGAAAAAAAGAAAAAAAAAGGCCACCAAGGAAGGAAGCGAAGGACGCTGCAGCTTTTTCCTGCCGGACAGGGAAAAAAAAAAGAGGAAAAAAAGAAAGGAAAAAAAAAAAGGGGGGAAAAAAAAAAAAAACAGTGACGAAACCAAATCCATCTCAGACCCCGCGCTTTCCCAGAGGTCTCCGGTGCCTCTCGTCGGTCGCACACAAAACCAAGCCGAGGATGCGCTGCCATCGTGCCGCCAGGAGGGGAGACGCGAGCAGGGCTGAGCCCGCAGAGCAAAGAGGGAGGTGGGAGAGGGAGAAAGGCAGAGGGAGGAGCTGCGGTCAGGTCGCTATTTGCACCTATCGTACAAAGTGAAGAAGAGTTTGTTGGTTTGTTTTTTCTTTTTTTTTTTTTTTTTATATATTTTTTTTTTTTTTTTGTTTCCCCCCTCTGGAAGTTAAGTCCCCGGCGGATGGAGTTCCACTGCCATCGGGATGGTGCTCACGGGTGTCTGGTGGTGGCTTTGAAGCATTAAAAAGTGCAGTTAGAGCTCTCGGGAGGGTTCTGGTTCGGGTGGGTTTTTCTCGGTGCGCCGTTACGGAGGGGAGGTGAGGTGTGGTGGAGGGGGGCGGAGGTTTGGAGGTTATATTTCAGCTCTTCCTCGCTCGCGGGCCGCTGCCGAAAGCCGCCCTTCAGTTGCTACAGCACTGGCTCTTGTTCTGCTGGGTTTGCTCGTGAAGGTCCACGCCTCTGCTCCTCCCCGCTGCACCGCTCGTGCTCTGGGGCTCGCTCTTTGGCAGCTTCTTGGCTGCAGGGGGGGAGAGAAGCATCAGCCGGGCTCCCAGCGCCGCTCCAGGGAGGAGGAAGAGCTGCCCTGAGCCCCAACGCCGCGCTCAGGAGGCATCGGCTCCGCATCGCGCAGCAGGGCGGGCTGTGAGGAAACCGCCCCCCCCCCACCCTGCAGGACCCCCCAACCTCCCCCCCCGCAGCCTCACCGATGGCCAGGAAGAGGTCGTTCACATTCATCGCCGTCTTGGCCGACGTCTCCATGAACAACAGGCTGTTGTCATCTGCGTAAGCCTGCGCCTCCTGGAAGAGAGCAGCCAGGTGAGGCTCCAGCAGCCACGGGGGGCTGCAGGGAGGGCGCTGGTGCCACCACTTACTTCGTACTCCACCATACGTTTGCTGGCCAGGTCGGCTTTGTTGCCCGCGAGCGCAATGACGATGCTGGGGCTGGCTTGCCTCTGCAGCTCTTTCACCCATGTTTTCGCCCGTGCAAATGTTTCCTGGGAGCAGAGAGGGGGAGATGCGAGGTCACCACGAGGCGGGCGCCCCCCAGGGACCCCCCCCCCACGGGCTGAGCCTGCGCCGAGAGCCTCACCTGGTTGGTGATGTCGTAGACCACGATGGCGGCCTGCGCCCCCCGGTAGTACATGGGGGCCAGGCTGTGGTATCGCTCCTGGCCCGCCGTGTCCCAGATCTCAAACTTCACCGTTGTGTCGTCCAGGCAGACGGACTGTGTGAGGAACGCCGCTGCCGGGAGGGAGGAGGGCGTGAGCATCACCCCGCTGCCCCCCAGCGCCCAGCCCACGACCGCCCGGCCCCCGGGGATCGAAGGTGAGGGAGAGGGAAGCCGGCGCGAGGCGCAAATGGAGGCGCAGCTGCAGGAGCGCAGCTCCAGCCCCGGTGCAGCCTGCAGGCAGCGCCCCCCGGCGACTCACCCCCGATGGTGCTCTCCTGGTACTCGTGGAATTGCCCCTTGACGAAGCGCAGCACCAGGCTGGATTTCCCCACCGCCGATTCGCCCAGCAGCACCAGTTTGAACTGACAGATTTTGCTGGCTTGGGATTGCCCGTTCGGCCTGGCGGCTCCTCTGCTGGTCATGGCCGGGCTGCTGCTGGGCTCCTGCCCTGCTGAGAGCCGGGAAGGCACCGACGCTGGGAGCGCTGGCGTTGGTTCCACCAGGCAGTCCTGGAAGGGGAGGAAAGCAGTCGGTCACTGCGTGCTGCACCATTAAATCCCTCCGGCCAAATGCAGTACAGGTGTGACGGGCGCGGGCACCCTTGGGTGCACAACGAGGACCCGACTGCTCTGCTTCCAGAGCGACTCCCAGGAGCTGGGTGGGAAAGGCTGACCCCGAGTGACGCCCAGGGGAGGCAGCGCCTCTGCCAGGACAAGGCTTAGCCTCGCGTCCCAGGCCGCTCCTGTTTGTGCCACAGCACAGATTCCTCAGCTGCTTCACCTCTCCCCGCCCAGAGGAGAAGCTGGGAACCAACTCCGCAGCTCAGCCTCCGAGTTCCTCAGCCTGAGGTTCTTTTTCTGCTTTCTGTTTTCCCTCGGCACGCACTCAGAGCAGACAGCACAGCGCATCCCATCCGCATCAGCAGCTCCTTCAGCCACAGCACGCACTGATGGGTCACCGTGCAGCCCGAGTCCTTCAGCTCCCACACCGGGACAGCAGGGAAAGCAAGGTTTGTGCTTTTCAATCTAATCTCATTCATTCTTTATTTTTCTTTTAAGGCTCACCTCCCATACGGCTGTAGGACACAAACGGCCGCTGGAGCACAGCCAGCAGGGGAAGGCCATCAGTGCCTGCGCCCCCACGCACGGCTGCGAACGAAGCACCTCCACGCAGTGCTGAGCCCAGGCCTTGAGCCTCACAGCCCCCACAACCCACAGCCCCCTCAGGCCCAGCTCCAGGGGGGGGGGGGTTCCACTTCACCTTTGCACTTCCACTGGCTGGATGCAGTGCTGCAGCACGCGCACCCTACAGCACCAGCCCCAGGACCACCGGCTGCTCCTGTTACACCAAATCCTCTCACCTGCAGAGGCAACCAAGCTGAACTGTACACAGTTACTCCCACCACACCTTCGTGTCACAGCCAGCAGCGCTCGCTGTGACTCAAGGTGCGAAGCACTGAGCTCCATGAGCACACACAGGCCCATGAAACACCAGCAGGCGCTGACCGTGGGGCACCATGCTGCGCAGCCCCCCCAGCACAGAGCACACAGCTGCAGCAGCGACGGCTCCACGTCACACGGGGCTGAATCGGGAGGTAAAGTCTCCCATCGCAGGACCCCACCCCGACCCTACGAGGACGCAGAGCCCCTGGAAGCAGCGCCGCCAGCAGCAGCACAGCATTGCAACAGCCGCCAGGGCCAACTGCTTTCCTGTTACCGGGCGGACTTCTCCTATGTCCCAACCGCACTCGCACCACCGCCGAGGCGGCTGCGGGACCGGCGACCTCCGGTGGGACAACGTGGGGCCCTTTATAACAGAGCCCGCGCCGCCCGGTCCCGGTGCATTCTTCATCTCGGGCGGCTCTGCCGGACTGAGCACCGTTTCCATTTGGCACAGCGGGGCGGTCGCGCTCTCTCTCGGCCCTCACCGGACCGCCGGGTGCCGCCTGCTCGGGCGGGGGGCCCGGGGGCGGCCAACACCGGGCGTTTGCTCTCCCCCCCCCCCCCGCCCTGCGCCCCCCGCGGCGGTGCGCCCGGCTCCCCGCCGAAGCCTCGGAACGGGCGGAGCCGCGGGGAGATCGAACTGGGGGAAAACCGGAGGAATTCGGCTCGGTAACGAGAGCCCCTGTGGATACCGAAGGAACAGAACCGGGCCCGGTACCCGCCCGGCCCCGAACTCCGCCCGTGGGACTCCGGCAGCCCACGGCTCCCCCCGGGCGCTCGGCGCACCGCGGCACGGCGGACCCGGTCCCCGCCCCAGGCCGGGCCCAACCCCGGGCCCAGGCCGGACCCGGCTGTTCCGGTCCCTCTGGGCGAGCCCGGCTGGGCTCCAAAGCCTGCATGCGCGGGAGGCGGCCCGGAACCCGGCCCGGCGCTCGGCCCCGCCTGCAGCCGCCCCGCTCCCGGTACCTGCGGCCCCGGCCTCCCGCTGCGGCCCGAGCACACAAACAGCGCCTCAGCCCAGCCCTCCTCTCGCGGGCGGGATTAAGGCGCGGCTCCGCCAATGGGCGACGCGCGACGGGGCGGCGGGCACGCCTCTTCCTGTCGGCTCAGCCAATGGGAGTGGCGGAGTATGCGTCATCGCCCCCGCCCCGCGCGAGACGGCCTATGGAAGACGGTGATTGGACGGATGGGCAGCGCGGCACCGCCAATAGGAGTAAGGGAACGGTGAGCCAGTGGTCAGCAGGAATGCCGCGGGGAGGCGGGGCCAGAGGTGAATGACGGAGCGCCCGGCCAGCGGGATGCGTCACCGCGTAGGGGGCGTCACCAGGAACAAATAAGGTGACCGAAGGGGGCGGACCCCTGCGGCAGCAGTGACCAATCACAGGGCAGAGGAGGCCCAGCCGGGCCAACCCGCGGCTGGCGGCGCGATGAATGACGAAACGCAGGGCGGTGCCTCGCGGCCATTCACGGGCCGGGTTGCCCATGACTGACAGCCCGTGGAGCTGCGGGGGCCGCCGGGAGCCGCGACCTCTGACCCCCAGGGGCTCTCCTTCACTTTTGGGCTGCGGTTTTCGGCGGGGGCGGGGCTAAGCCTGGCCAGTAGCAGCGCTTCATAGCGCCAGGGGGCGGGGCCTACAGGGAGCGGGGCCTCATGCGGACCCTATGGGGGCGTGGATGGGGCAGCGGGACGCAGGGACGCGTATGGACCATATGGGGACTATGGGACACAAACGGGCCCTACGGCGACCGTGTGGCATGTATGGGTGCTGTGAAAAGATGGGGCACATATGGGCCCTATTGGTATTTCAAGGACCTGGGGGCAGCCATGGGGAAGCCCTACGGGCATAGCGGCCCTACAGATGCACAGGATGGTGCTGGGGGAGCTGCAGGCAGGTGACAGAGGACAGACTGCTCCCAGCCAGCTGAGGAGGGGCTGATAGGGGTCAGACACCCACAACCCCCCCCGCGTCCCACAGGCACTGCTGAACAGGAGCTGCACAAAGGGCTTTAAATGTCAACTACAAAACGGCAAAAAAGTTACAAAAGTCAGCGAGGAAAAGCCCGCGGGGGGGAGGGAAGAGGTGGACCCCCACTGCCACCCCTGGGACGGAGGAGAGGGGGACAAAGGGAGGGGGAAGGCTCTGTCCCTCACCCTCCCACCTTACCCTCAGCTGTAAGTGCCCGAGAGCCCAGGCAAAGGGGGGGTCCCCGCCCTGAGCAGTCCTGGGGGCTGGGGGTCCCAGTGCCCCACTCTGCGCTCGCGCTGTCCGCAGCCAACGTGCCCACCCCCAGCCCAGTGCTCACAGGCGCAGGTGGGGGACAGCCCTGGTGACATCACGGAAGAAGGGATGGCCCAGCGCTGCCTTGGCCGAGATGCGTTTGTTGGGATCGTAGTGCAGCATTTGCTGAAGAGAAGCAGAATTGGGGACGGTGAGGGGGAGGGGGGGCTCCTCATTGCGTCTCCCCTCACCGTCCCCCCCCGGCCCTGTGCTCACCGCCAGCAGCTTGCGGCCCTCCTCATCCAGCGGCGGCACCACCTTGCCCAGATCCTGCCGGGCCCACTTGGGGAAGCTGGGCTTGTAGTCGGGCAGGGCGGTGACGCCGGGCCAGGCGGCCTCATCCGGAGTCCCCAGCGTGCGGAAGATACGGAAGAGCTGATCGATCTCCGAATCCCCGGGGAAGAGCGCGCGCCGCGTCACCTGCACGTGGTGGCATCAAACGGCCCCCGCCCCATGTGAGCACCCCGTGATGCTGGGTCTGGGCTGGGGGCTCACATGATGCTCCCCCACCCCCACCCCCCCGGCACCCACAGAGCCCCTTTGTGCCTCTGTGCTCGCGGCCGGCCCCGCGTGCAGTGATGTCAGGGCTGAGATGGCAGAATGGGGGCAAACTGGGGCACATCCTGAGTGTCTGCAGTGTGTGACCACAGCGCCCCTTGGTGACCTCAGAACGCGACCACGGTGTCCCCTCAGTGTCCCCAGGGCGTGTATTGGTGGTATCCCCAGGGTATCACATAGGTGTCAGTGGGGCAGGTCCTTTGTGTCCCCAGGGTGTCAGCACAGCATCCCCTTGGTGTTTCTCAGGGTACATCTTTAGTGTCCCCAGAGTATGACCGCAGTGCCCTGTCCTCCAGGACACATCCTTGGTGACCTCAGAACGTGACCACAGTGTCCCCTCAGTGTCCCCAGGGCACGTCCTTGGTTTTCCCAGGATACCCCCAGCGTATCCCAAAGGTCTCAGCAGGGCAGCTCCTTAGTGTCCCCAGAGTACGACCACAGTGTCCCCTTGGTGCCCTCAGGGCAACCCCACAGCGCCTCCAGGGCATCCCTCAGTGACCCCAGGTGTCCCCTGAAGTAGCAGCTGCTGTCCCAGGGGGACGCAGCCCCTCCCCTGCTACTCCACCCCCCTCCCCCACTCACCATCTCGGCAAAAATGCAGCCCAGGCTCCAGATGTCCACGGCAGTCGAATAGTACTTGCAGCCCAGCAGGATCTCAGGCGCTCGGTACCACAACGTCACCACCTGCGGGGTGGGGGGGGCAGACTTTGAGCACAGAGCCACCCCCGCTGCCCGCAGCCCCCCATCCCCACACCCGCCTCGTGCGTGTAGGTGCGCACAGGCACCCCAAAGGCGCGTGCCAGCCCAAAGTCAGCCAGCTTGATGGCACCGTCGGCGTTGATGAGCAGGTTCTGAGGCTTGAGGTCTCGGTGCAGCACGCGGTGTGCGTGGCAGAAGGCCAGGCCTTGCAGCAGCTGGAACAGGTAGCTCTGCGGGGATGGGAGGGGGGGGGGAGGTCAGCACTGCCCCGTGCCCCCCCGCCACCCCCGCCCCGACCCACCTTGATGAGCGGCAGCGCGATGCCACCCAGGGACGATGCATCCATGAACTTCTTCAGGTCCTGGTGCAGGAACTCAAAGACCAGGTAGAGCTTGTTCTCCGTGTGGATCACATCCAGCAGTCTGGAGGAGGGGTGGCCTGGGTGCTAGCATCACCCCCCTCCCACCCCAGTGCATCCGGACCCCCCTGCAGCCCCCAGACCCCCCACAGCCCCCAGACCCTCCACAGTCCCCAGACCCCACCACAGCCTCCAGACACCCCCGCAACCCCCAGACCCCCCCAGACCCTCCAGATCCTCTGCAGCTCTCAATCCCCCCCCAGCCCCTCAGGCCTTCTGCAGCCCCCAAACACCCCCACAGCCCCCAGACAACCCCCAGCCAAACCTCCCCACGCAGCCGGCTGCCAGCAGAGCGTCCCCATAGATTCTCTACACCCCTCTCCACGCCTCCCCCCGCGCCCCCCCTCAC